AGGAGCGGGACCGCGCAGTGCAGCGGGCTCCTTCGGCTCGGGCGCGCTGCTGCCCCAGTACGCCGCCGCCGCGGCCGCCACGGCTGGCCCCCTGGCGCATGATCGACGGGCAGGTTTCCCCGCAAATCCTCGCGCTTAACCCCCGGGGTCGGCATCTACCGAGCCGGTTCTCTTCTTCGACCCAGGCGACATTGGAGCGCTCGCCGATAGCGGGGGCCCCGGGGGCTCGCCTTCCCACTTAGCGGGCTTCCCCGCGCTATCGGGCGCAGCAGGTCCCCCCGCGCCCTCATGCGAGGGTCTGTCTGGCGGAGGCTCGCCCACGGGCGCGCAAAGTGCCGCGCCTTTAATCACGGCCTTACTTTTACAATCCAAATTGCATCTTTGATCGAGCAGCCTGCCTCGCACCTTGGAAGCACCCATCCAACACGTCTGGCATGATACGCCACTATCGCACCCATTCCCAAGCCAATGTCCTCCGCCATGGGCGCAGCAATGTCCAAGTCTGGATCAACGGCTTCGCCGCTGGAGGATGCATTGGAATATTCCGACCCAGACGCAGGCGCAGCGAGGTCAACGGCTGGCGCGAGACCAGAAGCTTCGCCCCTTTTGTCAGCCTCGGACTCGCTGGCACCCCCGCGAGAGGAAGAGGCGGATTGCCCCGCGCAGGAGACCGCTCGCGCTTCGCGCGCGGCCTCGTGGCACCCCCAATTGCACCGCTCGAGTCGGTGATTATTATCGAGTTGTTGCCATTATTGCCCAAAGCGTCGCGCCTGGGGGTCGTCTAGCGGCTGGCAGTCATCCTTGGTCAGAAGTGCTCCTTTGGCGTTGCAGTTTTGATCCACCCTGCGGCCAAGGCCATCCCCACGGGGCCAGACCCACGGGGCCCGCACGACGTTGGGGCTCCTTGAAGGGCGCCCCATCGGGCAATTCGGTCTGCGGCCTGCAAAATGTTCGCATCCACAAACAATTTCTTGATGTTCCTTCCGATCGGAAATGATGGCCCTTCTTGCGCCCGTCCTTTCCATCGCAGCAGCGGTCTTGGCGCCGCCCCCTGCTGGCACGGGCGATTTTGTCTTGGTCATCCCGCTTAACATTATGCAATGACCACCAGTGGCAGATTTGGTGCTCGGCGCAACCCTTGTCCAGCCAGCGATTCAGGTCTTCGCCCGGCATGCATTGGCGGGCAAGCCCGTCGTTGCGTTCACCGACAAGTCTGAGTTGACGCGGGTCATCGGGCTCACCTGGGCTTTCGTCATCCCGATGTGGGTTCCCCCCCGAACGCCCCCTTCTCGGCGCCCCCCTCGGGCCGCGCGGACGAGGCCGCCGCGCGCCGCTGAAGCGGGCGCGCGAGTGCCTACGCGAATGACTCCGCCGATGGCGGCATGACGGATGGCCCCCGGCCCCCCATTCTTCACCGTCGCCACCATCAGCACGACACACGCGCCCCCAAGCGGGGCGGCTCGAAGACTTGTCGCAGAATACTAAAGTGAAGCGAGCACCTTCACTGTGCCCGAGTTAATATAGAACACGCTAAGAGAGGTCGCCTGCGCAACGCGGGTTGCCCCGCAGAGGATCGTCGTCGCAGGCCCCCCTGCACGCGGGATCTCCAATCACCTGCGGTCGGAGCGCCAATTGGAGCTCCTCCCCCGCAGCCGGCACCGCATCATCGGAGCGCGCAGGCGCCCCCCCAATCTCGCAAACCGAGTCGGCGGGCACGCGGCAGTCCTCGGCGAACTCGACGTGCGCAGGTTGCCCAGCGATAGCAATGCCCAGCCAGTCTGCGAGGTCGATCTCATCGCGGCTGACGTAGATCTCCTCGAAGAGCTCGTCGGCGCACCTCTCGAGTGACACGCTGGCGCTCAGATACCTCGCGGACGCGAAGCGGACAGCAGCCGCGGGTTTGTCTTCCGATTCGGCGAAGAGAGTCTCCCAATCGACATACCGAATGAGGGAATCGGCTTGAGTCAAATGCATCGACAGACCCCTGCCTCCCCGATCGCCTCGGGGGCACGCACGAAGAAAATGCTGGGTACTATGGCCGAATCACATTCCGTGGTCTCCCCGCTGGCGTCTTCCGGGGCATCCCCAACGCCCTTACCTTTTTCCAGAGATGCGCCTACGGCCTCTACCCTTCCCTAAGAATATTTCTTCGTGCTGTGGTCCCGCAAGTGGCGGCAAAAAATGTTAGCATGCCTCTGCCATGTAATCTCCGTCGTTTACCCTCACTTTTTACCCTTAACCTTTGACCTGAACACCCGTCGGACTGCACGTCGCACCGCTCGAACTGGTTTCTTCATAAAACGTATCCACCGGCACTCGTGTTTCTGGTTTCCTAGGAATATCCTCTGCGCCCACTGCTCTCCAGTAGTGAGATGCACAGGCATGTCGGAGCAACCCAGGTCACCGATTCCCTCATCTGATGAGGCGTCAGCGTCGGCGCCAGAATCCAATTTGGACTCCGCGGGTTGCCCCGCCGAGCCGACGAGGGCAGCGGCTCGGTCAGGGGCCGCCGTTGCCGACGGCCTCTGGTATCGAGCCCAGGAGTCTCGCGACCCCGTGGGCTGTGGATCGTCATTCCAGACGTCGTTGGCAAGTTGCCCCGCATGAGCGTCGCTGAGAAGTGCGTCAGCGCGGTGGCCATGGCTGAATACACCACCAATGTTGCCAGGGGTTCACTCAGCAATATGGGCGCAAGCCCTCGTGCGCTCTAGTAAGGCGTCAAACTGCTGCCGCATCCTTGGCACTTGGTGGTCCTATGGTTGTTGTAGTTGTTGTGCACGCGATGTACCAACACCTAGAGTTCTAAACTATATAACTGTTAGGATCTGGAAGTTTGGAACGTGGAAACCCCCGGCGTCGGTTTCGAAGCGTGCCATCTCGAAGCGGGCCAGTTCCTGGCCGATCCGTTCTCCCGAATGGACGCGAAACTCAATGAGGGCCGTTCCCGAGTTGACTTGGCGTTCCTCCTCGCGGCTTTCGAATTTGGTGCTGAAGAGGAGCATACAATAGGTGGCGCCATCAGTGCGGCCACCACCAATGTTAACACCGAAGCTAATTACTGTGGAGGGAGCTCTCATGGCCATGGTCCTTGCGAGCCCTCCCAGACCACGCTGGAGAGCCGCAGCCTGTTGGGAGGGGGTCATAGTGCCTGCCTGTGGTCACGTTGATCCAGGCATGTACCTCGCGAGCGAATTCGCGGAAAGGTACGTTACCGACACGGCCCCAATTGGGGCCGGTAGTGCGCGCGTCGTCTCCACCACGCTGCATGTGTCCAACAGCGCATCCGGTAGCGACCCATAGAAGGCCAAATGTAATAATACATTACCGGTCCAGTGGCATCGTATGTCGGAATCGGTTGTACGTTGCTGTTGCTTGTGCGGCGACGTTGCCGTCATCTTGCGTGGGGGGGGGCGGCACAATGTCGTACCGCACGTTACCATGCATAGTGTCTTCGAAGAAATTGCCAAGGGCACTACGTGGGTGGACTTCAGGGGTGTAGCGCAGAGAGGTAGAACTCAAGTGGGAGACCTCCGCGTGGACACAGGCACCACTGCAAGTGTCACTGCGATTGTGCGTATGTATATACACTCCTCCGCGCAGAGCCACTGCACCTTGATGTTCCACCATGTCGGTGGTCCACCAGATGGTGCCGTGGATGGTGAGGAGTAGAGCGATACCTGTCCTCCACCAGACAACTCAACTACCAAGTTCGGAGCTGGTCCAGCCGCTGAAGTACAAGCGGCCGCGGACAAACGCTCGCTACCTCTCGCCTTTGCCCAACCTCCTTTAGAATGGGGTTCGAACCCCCCTCCCTCCATCCAGGATGAGGGGTCCGGTTCCAACCCACCCCCCAAGCGACTACAGAACGCGATCTTCATATATATATATATATATATATATACACACACACACGCACACACCGCCTGTGGAGATCCGCGAAGATCGATCCCCCAGGCGGTGGTTATGGATAAATCCCCGCCTCGGCAAGAGGTGCCAACACCGCTACTCCCCGGATCTCTCCCGGGGCGCGTTTTGACCAGGACTTCGCGGCGAATCCCGCCGCGGCGACGAGGGCCCCCTAGGACGCCAGGGACAGCGGCACCCGCATCTCTTCCTCTTCCGATGTATGCCGCTGTTTCTTCCTCGACTCGCTCGACCATCCCCTCCAATCGGGGACTGCTCAAAGTGCCCCTGGCGCATAGGGCCCCAGCTTTCCGCCCCATCGTGGAGCCCCTGGGGCCCCCTGGGCCTCGCGAGGGGTGCGACGCAGGCCATGGTGGCCTCCTTGGATAGAGAAAGCAGAAAATCGACCCTCATAAACATCACCCCGACAAGCGAAGCCGTTTAGTAAACGCACCCAAGGAAGCAATCGAACGGGGCAGGGCTGTTTAGAGAACGCCCAAGGCCGCTTCGTAAACGCCGATTCTCGGGGTCGGTGTGGTGTTTCCTCCCTTGATTGGAAAGCCTGGTAGACAAGCGCGTTCCACTACTCGTAAAGCAATTACGCGCAAATGGCCCAGATCCGCCGAGGGGGGCTTGCGATCCATTACATCGAGGCAGACGGTTGCTTTTAGGACCTTTTGCGAGCAGGCACTTTGCCGGTTTGGAACGCACTCAGTGACCTGGGGACGCCCTGGGCCATGGGGCACTCCCAGCAGCTCCCGCTCCAGCAGCTCCTGGGGAAGCCAAAAGGTGCCCATACCAATACTCCCTGGGCCTCTCCTGGGGTGCGTTCTGACCGGAATTTCGAGGCGAGCCCAGCCGTTGCGACGAGGGCCTCCCAGGAGGCCCACAGCGGGTGCAGGGCAGAGGTATGGGTACTCCGAGTTTCTTAGTAAGCGTCGGGGGGGCGTCACCCCCGCCGACAGCCCCACGTCCACCCCCGTCGCGGGCAGCCACCGCGCGCCGAAGGTACCCCCGTCGCGACGCGACGACGAGGCGAGGTTGATCCCCGTCCAGGGGGTACCCCCCACGCTTATTAAGAAACCCAAAGTATGTACCTTTTCCTCCTTCGAGCTCCACCGCCCGCAGGCCCAGGCCCGCCCGCCGCAGCGCCACCAGCAGCGCCGTGTGGCACCGCGGCGTGCGCAGGAGGCCCTCGGCTTCCAGAGCGTCCGCGGCCTCCAGGACCTGCCCAGGCGGGGCGCCCCGGCCCACCGCCAGGCCGAGGAGCTGCCGCCTTGTTGGAAGCAGATCGGGGGCTGGCGCTCTGCCCTTCCCTCCGCCTCCCTCCCCGTTTTCCTCGTCCCTCCCTCGCCCTCCTCCTCATCCCTTCCTCCCCGCCCCTCCTCCCCCTCCTCCTCCTCCTCCTCCTCCTCCTCCTCCTC